TACAGTTAACTTGCAAAGGTTACTGCTGACCACAGGCTTCGGACCCAGGTGGCTGCCTCCAGACCCTCACATTCAGTGAGACTTCTCTCCTCTCCATCCTGAGCTTGCTGCATGCCTCCTCAGTAACCTCTGCCGTTCCATTTTCTTGTGTATAAAAAGCGGTTTTGTTTTATGCTTAAATGAGGAAATACATATACGTTGTTGACAATGGTGCCTGGCACTTAGTAAGTGCTTAGTAAACTTTAATTGGGAAAAAAGCTAGGCTCCATCCTAGGAGCAATTTGTTTTTTGTTTATTATTATTATTTGCTCCAATATGTAATAACTTTCCTGTTTCCTGGGAAGAGACCCTAGGAAAGGATGGAAAAAGTGGAAGGAAGGCTGCCGGGTTCTGTGCCTCTGTGCCCAGGAGGAACATATGTCCTAGGTTTTGGGAATCAGGATTTCCATCTCTTCCGTATCTAGGGAACCACAAGCACGGGCTCTTTGATTCTGTTGTCTTTCTTCTGCTTTTCTTTTCTTTCTCGTGCTTTACAAGCTAAACTGGCAAATGTAGTGAGGAAGGTTATAGGGTGAGTGGTCCCTCTGTGAATTTAGGTCTGTGCATCCATAATGCCTTGATACTTTCCATTTTTTGGATGAGATGGTACCCCTGTCTCCTGGGAGAGGGGTCCCGATGGGCAGGAAGTCATTGTCTGAGCTCTTCCATCCTTCTCTCCTAGCACCTCACACCACATCTGACACAGAGTAGGTTTTCAGTAGACGTTTGTGATTCGATGAATTAACTCATGGGGTCCCGATGTTCTATCAGTCACCCGTTCCTGTTTTGGAGGGAAGCTACTGATGAGTTCCCCCTGGAGATGGTACCTCAAGGTTGAGGGGTGGAAAATCCCTTTCTCTCAGTTCAGCTAAGACCAGGGTAGAGTTTTTGAGAAGTACCCTTTCCTTGTAATACAAGTGCAAGCAGAGTAAACACAGAATATAGAAATAGATGGTGGATCTCGCACTGTGACTCGGCGGCAGACTTCTCAGCTTGGCTGAGCCAGCTCTGTCCTCTCCTCACCCCCCTCTCTCTGCATTAAGTTCTCGGGTTACCAGCCTGGGGTGGGTTTGCGTTGGCAGATTCTCAGGACTTGTGGGATTCTCTGATCCCCTAGGACAGTCTGCTTCCTGATATTGTGCCCTTGATGTGGGAACGCACTCCCACAATTCCTTCTTGGCCTCAAGCCATCTGTTGGTAACCTGATGGTGGTTATTGTTAATTCAAAAAAAATTTTTTAATGTTTTTGAGTAGGATGTGTTCACAGTGTACTAAAAATTTATATATACAACGAGATATACATTGAAGAATCTCCCTGCCTTGTACTCCAGAAACCCAGCTCCTACTCCCCTGCCAAAGATAACTTTTATTACAGTAGTTTATTGGTTATTCTTCCAGAGCTTCTTTACGCATATATGAGGAATATTTGTGGAAAAGCAGTGGGGGGTACTTGACACTTTATACGAGGTCCACAGACTAGGGTCTAACGAGGTAGTTTGGTGTCTCTAGCACAGCATTTCCCAACTTCAGGGGATAAAGTTTGCTAAAGTGTTTTGTTGCCCTACTAAATTTCCAGTAACAGCTTCAACCTTCTCCAGCCTCCTACTTGGGAAGATGGAGAGGAGGAGACACAGCCCAGTGCATTTACATATAATTTTGAAAATGCATGTATGTTTTGTGTGTTTAAAAATCAAGATACTGAAAAAAAAAATCAAGGTACTGTATATTTCAGTTCAAAGGGTCTCTTGGAAACCAAATCATAGTTATGACAGAACAGCAAGTTAGAGCAGATTTGACAAGTGAATTTGTTGCTCTCGTGTAAATAAAAAATACATATGTTTTCTCTTCCCTTCTCACAAGGTAGCACATTATACACAGTGTTCTGCATCTTGCTTCTTTTTGACTTAACGTAATGTAGATATTTTCATATAATTACTTAAGAGCACTTCCTTATTCCCTTTTGTTTTTTTATGGCTACTTAGAACTTCATTGTACGAATGAACCAGGTTTTTATGAGCACTTTATTGGTGCACATTTACGTTGATTCCATATTTCACTGCAGCGGAAGTGCTGTACATGTATGTATTGACCTTGTGTAACTCATAACATGTGCAGACAGAAATAAGACAGGATTTTGTAAGGAACAGGGTAGCTTACTGATTTACCCACCCAGGACAATGGAATGTTGACTTAAATGATCAGCTAGGGTCTATTCTGTTCTGATAATTCTGTACAACAATACCTAGTAGAGAGGGTTTTGAACATGGAATTCTCTTACAATACCTGCTTACAGTCTATTACATTTAACATATATAAAGCAGATTGCCACACCTGTGTGTGGTTCCACTTCAGTAAAGGACTGAGGACCACTCTTATCAGTGTGGTGGGAGCACCTCTTCATATCCTGCCTCTTTATTCTTATCCATCACCATCTTGCTGCCCCTGGTATGGCTGCTGCTAGCTTCTGGGTCCTTTTTGCTATGCCTTTGTCTTGGCAGTTGCAACAAGTTCACTCTTTAATCTCTGCTCCTTTATCAGCTGATTTCTACCTCAAGCTTTGTCTTCCTGTAATGCTCTGCAGAATTCTGGCCTTGGCCAGGGCTTGCTGCAGTCCCGGCTGTAACTTAAGGGTGATGTACCGTTCCTGTCACTGCAGTCTGCAGCCTTTCCGCCCTCCCTGATAGGTAGGGGAGGAGATCTCTTGGATTCCTCAGTTGTGTAGCATCACAATGCTCCTGGGGTACCACCTGTCTCATCACGTCCAGCCCCAGTTCACAATTGTTACTCCTCCGCCTTGCTCCAAGTGGGTTTCCATAGCTCTTGACCCTGAAGGCTCACCTGTACTGACGACCTCTGTCTCTCTTTCCATTTTACCTGAAGCGTCTACATGAACACAGTGTCCTCCCAGCGTGGCTTCCTCGGGACACCAATTCCATAGCCTGCGTTTTAGTCTCAGAACCGTGTTGACCCCTTAACATTGTAAGTGCCCAAGATAATGCTTAAGAAACTCTGTTAGTAGTAGCCCGTTATGAGGACTTGTTTTTCCACTTTTTTTTTTTTTTTTTTTGTTTTTTCGGTCTGTGGGCCTCTTTCTGTTTTTGCCTCTCCCGTTGCGGAGCACAGGCTCCGGACGCGCAGGCTCAGCGGCCATGGCTCACGGGCCCAGCCACTCCGCGGCATGTGGGATCTTCCCGGACCGGGGCACGAACCCGTGTCCCCTGCATCGGCAGGCGGACTCTCAACCGCTGCACCACCAGGGAAGCCCTACTTTTCCACTTTTTGATGAAGCTTGGCTTCTTCACCTATTGTTTTGAGACTTCCCAGTGGCCATGAAGACTTTGTTGGGAGGTGCTTCTCTTTCCAGCAGCCAGAAGCAGCCTCCCTGCCTCTTCCTGTTTCAGGGCCTCCCTCTGGGGCTGCCCACTTGATTTCTGTGTCCCGTCTGAGCGATGCCTCTGGCCTCGAAGACCAGCCGTGACCCACCTGCTCTTGGCCCAGTGACCGACGCAGGCTCCCCTGTCTCTGTCAGACCCACCCGCATCTGGGTGAACCCCTGGGTTCTGTGGATGGGATGGCCTTCTGAGAGCCTGCCATTCACTTGGATCTCAAAATGCAGTGTCCACCACAGATACGTTTTCTGTCCTGGCAAAAGGAAGGTATCTTCCTTGCTCAGCATGAGTTTTCAGCTTTCCAGGGCTCTTTCTGGTGCAGAAATTTAGATCATGGATGTTTCTTCTTCTTGTGACTCAGTCTTATTGTGTCTATCTTCTGCACACTGTGGCATCTTGTTGTAACTTCCTGTTTATCCTACAGCGACACGTGAGAATGCATTTTTTGAAGAGTTAAAACCCAGCAGGTGTTGTCAGAAGCTTGAGTGTTTGCTCTTTAGTAACCGTGTCCGGTGGGATGCGTAAATGAAGTTACTGGAAGTCCTGAAGAGTTTTTTTTTTCCTGGATCCTTGGTTTTAGATTCCTCACCTTATTTGGATCAAATTAAAGAAAGAGCGGTAGGGATAGTCCCATGATTTCTCTCAGGGAGAAGGAGGTCTGGTGCCAATACCACCGTGTTTTATTTTTATTTTTTAAGCACTTAAGACTCTTTGCACTTACCTCGGGAGTGTATCGATTAACCTGCTAGCTCTCCACACCCCTCCCCCCAAGGATGTAAGCTCCTTGAGAGCAGAGACCTCGCCTGTCTTGTTCACTTCTGAAAGCCTGGTGCTAGAACAACGTCTGGCTCATAAAGAGCAGCTGAATAAACGTTTGTGCTGCATAAATAAAATCCATCTGTTCTCCTTTGAAGGACTTTTAAGTCCCTTTGGGATGGGCAGTAAGGCCACTGAAACCATGGCACCAAGCTCAGTGTCTCCGATGGATTTGGAGGCGAGACTGGGTAGGGTTATGCAAAGAGATGTTGAATTTGCAGAATGTCTGGGTTTGAATCTTCACTCTGCCACTGACTTATTTGGGAGACCTCTCTGAGCCTCAATTTCTTTATCTATACACGAGAGATAATAATTGCTCCCCAACACACACACACACTTTGCAATCCTTGGGTGAAGAATGTATGAAAAATGCATTTTAAACCGTAAAGTCTGCAAATGAGGGGGAATTACAAAACCATGGCCTTTCTCTTCCTTATTTTTTGCTGCACATGAAGCCAGGTGCCCCTGCCTGCCTCCACCTCTGTTAGAATTGGGATCTCCTGTGGCTGCCCTCGTGAGATGCTTTATCTGTAAAAGTGAACTAAGGAGCAGATGCCTTCTAGGAGTTCCATCTGCCCCAATTCCCTAATGACCTTGGTGGGGGTGGGGTATTACTGGGGCCTAGGAAAGCACACTTCCGGCTCAGGCCTGGCCTCGGCCCCTGTGCCACTGGTGAGCACGGCAATTCACCAAGCATCTGTGAACTCCAGGAGCTATAGCATCAAGGGCTGCTTGACAGTTTTTCTCTCTTTCCAGGAGGCTGCTGAAGAGTGAACTTGGATCGTTCATTACGGACTATTTCCAGGTAAGCTGTGTGGGTCTGAGCTTGTGCTATATTGTGCACGTGGGTACGTGTACCTAAAGGAGTGACCGATACTGTAACCTGGACATGCCTTCAACGTCCAAAATTCTGTATCCCGAGTTCCTACTATGTGCTGGGCATTGCAGCGCAGCCCTACTGCGTGCTGGGCACTGCAGTGCAGTGGCAGTGGAGGCGTACAGGGCAAGCGTGGTCCCTGCTTTTATGGAGACTATAGCCTCAGACAGCGGTTCTCAGGCTTTTTGGTCTCAAGGACCCTGTTACGCTCTTAAAAATGATCATTTATTTGGGTTATCTCTACGTATTTTCACCGTATTAGAAATTAAGCCTGAGAAAATTTACTGTGTGCCTTAATTCATTCAAATAATAAACCTACTACATGTTAGCATAAACGGCATTTTTATGAAAAATAACTTTCTGAAAATAAAAGGAGAGTGGTATTGTTTTATATGTCTGCAAATCTCTACCTGCAGACTGGATCCCCATATCTGCTTCATAGTCAGTCTATTGTGATATTGCCCGTCTGGAAAATATTGCACCTAGTCTCTGGAAAACTCGACAGTACACTCAACGGAGGATGCAAGGCAAATAACAGCTTAGTGTTGTTAAGGAAATCGTTTTGACCATGTGGAAAAGGTCTGGGTGATCCCTCAGGAGACCCCAAACCACACTTTGAGAACTGCTTTCCTAGTGCCATTCCCTCCCACTCCGTGTATGGTACCTAATTGAGTGTAATGCTATGTCCCTTTAGCCAAGTTCTTTCTTGTCACTAAGCTTCTCGGTCTGTTCTGTTAAAGATAGAATTGAATCAGATAAGCTAACATCCCTCCTGCCTAGACACTGTTGTTATTGCAGCTAATGAGTTCAAGATTCCAGGTGCAGTCAGGATGGTTTCTAATCCACTGACACGAGATGCCTTCCTGACTCCATCCAAAGACACGTGGTGGGAAGTCCCCACACAGATTTTTTCAATAGTCAATACTATAGTACTGCAGGATCCATGGCTGGTTGTATCTGTGGATACAAAAAAACCTCAGATACGGAGGGTCAACTATAAATTATATGCAGATTCTCGACTACACGGAGGGTTGGTGCCCCTAACCCCTCGCGTTGTTCAAGGGTCAACTGTATACATATTTGTTATTCTAAAGTGTAATCCATCCCTTTTAATGGGAAGGTGACATAAAAATCCATAATAAATTGGTTTCAGGTTGGTGATATTATTCTGTATCCCAGGTGAGCATACTTTTAAGACAGTTTAAAGAGTTTTTAGCTTTTAAAAACAACACAGGCATCCTTCCATTTTCTTTCCATAAATCAGGAAGCTTAAACTTTTATGTGCACTTTAAAAGAATGACAAATGTCAGTTGTTTCTCTCTCACATGCACACCCACACCCACACACACCAGAAAATGACCACTTGGCCACTCTATATCTGGACAAAGCAAGACCCAGCAGAAGCCTGGAATTCAATCAGGGCAAATGTCTCAGCTGCTTGAAAGAAAACCCCTGTCCAGGGAGAGACAAACAAAGATTAAAAAAGAGATAATTAGTCACAAATGTGAATCATTTCAGTTGCCCTCGACTCAAAGGTCAGTCTTGTCCTCACTCTCTTCTCTTGCTGTCTCTAGTGATTGAGTTTTAAATCCAACTACAGAGAAGTGGTTTTTCAATCCCTCCTGGTGAAACCTGCCAGCCCAGCTGCCTTCCTCATTGACATTTAAAATAGACAGGGTTCTGTGTGGTTTCAGTCAAGTTTGAAATGTCAGTCATGTCTTGGCTTTGGGGACTACCCCTCGGATGGGTGGGGAAGGGCATTTGGGTGGGGATTTATTTATCTGGAAAGCCCTGAGGTTTTGGGGGCAGTAAGTGCTGCTTACAAAGTATGCCAGACACTTAACAGCTGGTAACCACATGTCATTTTTTTATCGAGTGCTTAATCAGAGAAACTGCTGGTGAATATTGAGTCTCTTTCTGGGGGTGTGGGGTATGAACTGGTTTTCACAGTTTTGAATCTGGGTTTTTCCTTAGTTTATGGTGCTAGACGGGAGAAAAGCCTGTCCTAGACACTGTTTATTAAAATGTAGGTTTTAAGTCTCATGTAGGCACAGAGCCTTTTTAAAAATGTGTTTGGTTCTCCAGTCCCTAGAAATTACCTAGCACATAGTAGATGCTCAATAAACTTTATTGGGAGAGAGGGAGGGGTTGCCCACCACAGATACATGAGAGATTTTAGGAGTTGCACACAATGGTATTAAATAACATTCACCTTTGTGGTAAGTGTTTCCTTTCCTTATTTTCCTTTAGCTCTTCTGATCATGCCAGGGAGAGTCTTCGTTTGTGCCCTTGTGTCTGTTACACTTCTGCAAGACTTGGTGATCTCTCTTGTTTAAGGAAGAGAGAGCAGGTTTCAAAATTAGTGTCTTCAGCTAGAAGCAATGTCTAATTAGGATTACATAACATCATTTTGTTGAGATTGAGTTGATCCTTGAGTTACATTCTATTTATGGTAAATGGTGTTGCTGTGGTTTCTTTTATAAACATATTTATGTTTTTAAAAAGTGGATTGATTGAAGAAAAATAGTATACAAAGAATAATAGTGTATGTGGCCCTGGCTGTGACCAAGTGGTGAAGGTGGTTCAAGAGAGACTCAGGTGTGGAAAGTCCTTCGCTAGGCACCCTTGAAAATGGGCTGGTTTCAAAGCCACACCAAGAAGAGCTTTTCAGATGAAGAGGGAAATCCAGGAGGCAAGGCTGATAGAGGTGACCTCAGCCTTCACACTCAACTATCGGATGTAGTTTCAAGAGGGAAAGTCAGAATGGGCTCCAGAAAGAACATTCCTCCAGCAAGGAGGAGGGAGGAAGGTCTGGGGACAAGTGAGGAGCAGAACCAGGGGGGTGGACAGGTAAGACCCAAATGCCATGGATGTGGCTGTTGGGGAAGGTGACGAGTGGGTTCCTCCGTGTGGAGGATGAGATGGCCACTCCCCCCGCCACCCCTCCTGGACATCTGGACTCAGCAATGAGGTCTGTCTCCTGGGACCCAGACCCCCCACCCCAGAGACTGCTACTTGTAAAAGCCATCACCGTGGCTCCGCTTTTGAAAGTGAACATTCTCATTTTGCAGCTTTGAAGAAAGACTCACAGAAAGATTGTCTTCAGTGAAGAATAATGAAAATGACCCAAGGTGAGGGCAGGGGCAGAGCAGGCGGAAAGATGGTGCTTATCTTGTGTCTGCACACAGAGAAGACAGGCTGTTTGATTGACAAAAGCACAGATAGATTTCCATATGACAGAGGCCAGAAAAATCTTTGACATTTCCAGTATTGATTTTCCTTTTTCCTCCGTCTGTTTTGAATTGCACCCAGAAGGAAAATTGGGGTTTCCGACAGGAACTCTACATCCTAGAGACAGCTCTGCGGGGTAATTGGTTCCTTTTGTCTTTGGAAATGGTTGACAGGAAATGCTCTGCATTTTTCTCTTACCTGATTAGGTGCCTTGGTGGTCCGGGGCCTGGGGATGGGAGAGGTGGCTGATCATACTTTCTGTGCTTCTGCATCTGCTGGTTGTGTTGTGTCTGTCGAAAGCTTTTCCCCAAGCCCAGAAAGTTAAATTATTTTTGGTGGAACTAGAGTTTCGCTTGATACAGAGACTCAGTGTGTAGCCAGTGGCTTTGAATAAGATAGTACCTAAGAAAAGGAGAAATTTGGCCACCATACTTGTCAGTAGGGCACGGATGATGTAAATGTTTGATGTAAAGGTTTCCATCTACTGCTCGTATCTGTGGCAGTCACAAGAGGCCACTTTCCCCTTAGCTCATCATTATCAGAGAAGATTCATTAAGGGCATGTGGCATGTGGCAGGGAGCTGAAGGAGAGACCCACGGAAGCATCCTGGTCACCATGGAGTTTGAAATTGAAGTGCAGGGAGGTAGATGCATCCGTATAGGGGACACACGGCATCATGTTAACTGAAACCCTGAGTGGATGGTAAAGGCTTAAAAACAGGCCCAGTATAATCTTTACTATTCTTTAAGATTATTAATCTTTATTATTAACAATAATATAATTATTTAAG